ATGAATTTAAAATAGATGTTTTCTCGACTTCAAATTAAAATTTGCCATTGGCATATGGGTAGCATATTGGCCTTGTATATGCTACTATAATCTTTCAATATCCTTTAAACCAATTATATTCTTAGAAACCAATCAAATCCCCTTATATACCTATATATAGCTTTAATCCCTCCAAATTATCTCAATCAGTACAATTCTATTAGTAGCCATTAATCACTCAAAATTTTTCAGAATTATGAATAATTATTGAATTTCCATCTTAAAATTCTAAAATTTTTCATTGATTTCCTATTTAAATTTTTATTAGCTTATAATGTTTGCCACTTAAGACTTGATAGAATTTTTGAAACTTCTGATTTTTGATGTTCCCGCTTTACAACCTCTCTCTCTGCTATATAAATTTATTTGTCAGTGTCTGCGATAGAGGGAAATAGAGAGATGATGAAAGAAATACACGCGAATTACAATCGAATTCAATGCTTGTAAAGTCATTAGCGATTTAATACACTGTCGCGCGTTATCTCTCCTTTTAACACTAACTTATATAAAAGTCTTGTAAGAGAAATAAGGAGAAAGAGGAGATATTCACAACAAAATATCATGCTCTTTAAAATTCTTAATTAAACTATTTTTTATTTTTTATTATTTTTTAATTAATGCGAGAGAGTTACTTATAAGAGATGTGAGCTTGAATAAATGTATAAACAATAAAATAAATCAAAGATAGTTTGCCGATAATTTTATTGGCTTTACATAGAGTCCTGGCATTAGCGGCATTGCTGCTTTTGCCGCTCTATCCATTAAAACTTGCTTGTTAATTTATTGCGAGGAGGGCGTCTTCATTGATGGTCTTGCGTTAGTGGCTATATGTTAAGCGCGCTTGTCATCCCTTATAATGAATGCAGCTATTAAATTCAAATATTAATTTTAATTTATCAAATTTGATTTTTTAAATTTTTATTAAATTTAAAAATCCTTAAAATTCTTTACAAAAAGAAATACCGTATTTCCTAAAATAAAGCCCCATGGGGCTCTATTTTTCAACTATCCTCCAAAGTGGGGCTCTATTTTAGGGTGGGGCACTAATTTAGCATGGGGCTTTATTTTAGGAAATACGGTATTTATTTTTAAATATAAATTCTGAAAACATGCAGGCTTGCACTTTCCTATACGAAGGCAAAGGGAAAGTTGTTAAAAATTAGGATGTTTATTGTTTTTACGTTCATTTATATTATCTCGTAATTGACATTTATTCTACATATTATTTATTTTTTAATTTAAGTATGAAGAAACCTCTTACTCTTCTAACTTTTATTTGTATTTTATTCCATTTATCTGAATGCATGAATTATGGTTCATTCGAAAAAATAGATAAAGAAATTGCTAAATTGAAAGGAAGAGAAGAATATTTCGAACGTAGTGTCAATATAAATAAGCAAAAATATGAAAAGGCCTGTCAAAGTCTAAAAGAGACTCGAAATAAAATAGAAGGTATATTTTAAGTCCGAGTACTTTTATATTTAGATGGGTGTTAATAAAATATGATAACATGGGTTATCAAAAATATTATTGGGTATTAAATAAAATAAAAAGAGATATTTTAAGTGCTTGAAGAACATAAAAGACAAGCAGCTATTGCTTTTGGACATGCTGGCCAAGATCAAGGTTTACAAGGACATGTTAGCCAAATTATTGGAAATACCAGTACTGGAGTGGAACAGTTGAGTGGAAAAATGAAACAGAAAATGAATATTGCAGTTAGAAAAGGCCATGCTCGATATAGGGAAGGTAAATGCTTATCCTTAAAGATCAATCAATCAACCTAAATTTTCAACAATCCTTAAAGCCCTCTTAAATTGCGAATAAAAATATTTTCTGATTGCTTATCAATTATTTAAGAAAAGAATGTCAGTGGAAAGACTTTTGAAGAAAATAAACAACATAATGGATTTGGAAACATGATTTCTTCTAGTGTGCCCCAAATTGCAGGATATCCACTAGGCTTTAATCTAAATGGAGGATATCATCAACAACCATCTTTTCAATTTTCGGCTTCTCATGAAGGACAATTTAATCAAGGAGCATCTCATCATGCAAATTTTGTTAACGGTAATTTAATTTCTTCCGTTTCAAAATTGTCATAACCCTGCTTTAAAAATAAAATCCAGTAATCGAAAGCCTTCGAAATGTGCTACAAGATAGCAATCTATGAAATTCTATGAAAATTAGAATCCATTGATAAAAATTTAGACTTGCCTACTATGCTTTTGGAACTCAAAGAATTCATGTAATATCATATCATTAACAAACTTCTAAACCACTTGGTTATACCTGAACTGAGTCCAATGTAGGCAACATATCTAATAGTTTTCGAGGATTAAGTGAGATATTGTTATATGTGAAAAATTGCATTTTTGCGATATTTAGACTAGCATTTTCAACTATTAGTGCGTCTAAGATTTATAAAGTCAAAAGTAAATCCGTTGGCAAAATGCATAGTTATAAGAAAAAAGGATCGTTACTATAAATTTCGGAGATGGCTCTTGCTAACAGCTAAACTTTTGATAAATCTTAATAGATCAATTTAGATCATTATGTTATACCAGCTGGAATGCAACCGAATCCTGGTTTATTAATTTTTTAATTTTTGCTTAAAATGTTATAAATTTTAAGGAAGCACTCAACTCAATGTTGGGAATATTTCAACTGATGATGAAAAAACTGAATCCGATACAGATGGAGACGAATGAAAAGAAAATTCTAATTGTACAGAAAACGAGTTAAAAAGAAGCACTGTAGTTTGATATTATTAGTTATTGGAGAACAATTTATATTTTTTCATAAATTTATTCAAATTTTGAATACACTTTAGAATTTGTTTTTATTTGATTAAAAATCCTTTGCAAACATTAAATACAGGGTGCGCCATAAGTAATTGGACACTTTTAAAATCCTTATAACTTTTTTTATTGTTGATATTTTTATTCGAGTTTATGCTTATTTTTTTAGCTCATTCAATTCTCTATTATGGCTAATCAACGTGATTCTATAATTTCAATTTTTTGCAAAAAATTCAGTCCGCAAAATTTCATCTCTTTTAAAAGTCCCAAAAAGCACTGTACAATACACAATCAAAAAATTCTGGTGAAAATTTTTTGGGAGAAAATTTTTTTGAAATTAATTTAGTAATCATGGCACAACTAAGATCTTACAAAAAAGTTGAAGACCGCGTTCCGTCAGCACTTTCAAGTATATCAAAATGATCAAAATGCGGGTCTTCTTAAACTCCTATTATATTATCTTCTTAAACTCCTATTTTGATTTTTCTAAAAATTTTATTTGAGTTAATTTAAATAAACCTTCATGTTTTATGTTATTGGGAAGAAACAATATCTCTCAAAATTAAATTTACTCCATTGAAAATAAAAATTACTCCCCATCATTCCCTTCTCCACTCGCCCCTGTATTTCGACATTTGCGTGCGTCTATTAGAGAATCTCATTTTAAAAACATGAGCGCGTTACATAATTAATTATTGACTTGGCGGCATTATGAATTATTGACTTGGCGGCATAAATTAAGTTAAATTAAGTTTAAAAAATAAACAAACTAGAAATTTTCTGTAATCTTTTAAAATAATGCCCTATTTCTATCTTATTTTTGTCATATTTTTGCCACATTTTTGAGTGGCTTCTCAATATTTCATTGTTTTGGAAAGGACAACCCTGATGGTCAGTGTTAAATAATGCTAAAAACCTTAAACAAAACATATAAACTTTAAACTATTTCTTTATTACTATCTCAACTCTTTTATGGAGGATTCTTTTTTTCTAGTAAAAATTTATAAGGATGATGCAATATTCTATCCAATCTATAAAATGATCGCAAGACTCAATGCCCTTTAAGCTTTCGCAATACCTTGAGTTTAATTAAAAGGGCAATGTCCTTATTTTTGTATCCATTTACAAAGAACCAGGCCAAAATAAGTTTACAAGCTACAAATAAAGAAAAATCGAAATTTCGAAAATAGTTAAACTTTATTAATAATTGAAATTTCAAAATAGATTTTGAAATTTACAGTTAGATTTTTTGCTTGAATTTTTTGAGTTTTAGAAATTTTTGAGTTTTAACCAAGCATGTCTGGTGAGTTAGGCAGAAGTAATTGGGCAGTGAGAGATTTGGGAAGGAAACATATTTTAAAAATTTTTTCCATAAAATTAATTTGAATAACAACAGAAAATTTATAGAACTTTTTTAGCCGCGTAGTTCTTTTTACGAATAGCGGTTTTCTCCCGTTTCTGTCAGCACGTTTCAGTACTCACGTTTCAGTCCCGTTTCATTTCCTGAACTAAATTGATTGTTGCCGTTAAACTAAAATACGCAAACAAAGAATATTTTGTTAAACTTTAAACAATTTAGCAATTTAAATAATTTAACACGAAAAAATATAACCTGCCAATTAAAGCCTGTTTCGAAATAAAAATAAAGTTCGAATTTTCGAACTTCAATTAAAGTTCAGATTTATTATAGCAAAATTTGGCTGACAATTTAATAAAACGCACGCAATCTTGTCTTTAAAAGGGCAGTCGTTTATACATATTAATTCATAATTAACAATTTTTATTTTTAACTTTTTAAATTTTCTCTAATAGTAAGACAGAGGAAAAAGTTTAGACTTTCGATCCTTGGATCTCTGGCAATTATATCATTCCGTGTTTTTTGCTTGTAAAAAGCAATCATCTTTTTATGTTACAAAATTTTTTACTCTTTAAAATAAATTCTAATTAAAAAATTCATAGCATGAAAATATCAAAGTTAACAATTCTTCTATTTTTATTGTTCATATTATTCGAGATGCTGGAATGTGGTGGTAAAGACAAGGATAAAGATGAGAGTGATTCTTCTGGAAAAGAAGAGGAAATAGATAATCGAGACCACAGTGGAAATGGCCGGAGAGTCCGTGTACAGAGCCGCCAAACTCGCACAGGATCAAGCCATCGTTCTATAATCCAAAATCAACACGTAAATCCAAATGATCGTCGCATGGTAATGCTTTGTTCCAAACTTCAAATGCATCAAATAAAAAAGTTACGAAATGATTGGGGAAAACTTTGTAAAGTTCAACATAAAATAAACAAAAATCAAAAAGTTATTAAGCAAGACATGTTAAAACTTAAAAAGTTAACAAAACAGTGCAATCAACAAAGTGAAAATATGTTAAAATCACACAAACAGAACATGAAGCATTTGAAAGCAATTTTTGAACGTAATATTATAAAAAATTTTTAATGAGAAACTAGCATAAAATAAAGTTCATTTTGGTGTTTTATAGTAAATGAGATTAAATTTATTCAAAATTTCGATAAAATTTGCAAATCGAGTCCCATTAAGATTGAGAATAAAAGCTTTAATGAAACGCTACATTTGCCAGTAAACTTTAGTAAGACCCGGATATCAGGGGTAATAAAGTTTTATCCTTAAGAACATATTTAGTCCACATTAAAGAAGGTCAAGTCATACTTACAAAAATAGGCATAATTACATTAATCGAGATTATTTTATAATATAACTAAAAACTTAGAAATTAAAACTACAAAAGCTTCAACCCAAACTGATGAGAAACTTACAATGCCAATACGTATAAAGGAAGAGACATTGTCTATTAGAGACCCTCAAGATATCCAAAAGTTCAAACCAGAACATGTTGAAGGAAAAGGAAAGGAAATCGCACGTAAGTGTAGGCAAATAATATTTAATTGTTGCATAGAATGGATGGGACCTTCTAGCTTATTGATAACAGAAACGTCAAATTTTAGGAATTTGGCGAAAGAATAAGAAACGATTCACATATTTTGTGAATGAACCTAAATTTTTAATACCATTAAAATTCTAATTTTTACATCTACTTTACGAGGCCTATGGAGTCAAGTAATTAAAAAATAGTTATTATATAAATAATAATTTTTAATATAAAGCACAAGATTGGAAACACAAGTCAATGTTTGAAGGACTTCCAGCTGCTCAAATGCCTTCATCTAGTCAATTTGCTTCTATGCAACGTCCATATGGATATGATTTTCGTCCATGTAACTCTTTATATTTTTCCGTTAAATAAGATGATAAAATGAGAAAAATTACTGCCTATAACTTATGTAATTGTAAAAGTAGCTCAGTTGTTAGAATTTAGATAGTAGAATAAAAAATTTTCTCCTAATCTCTCGTAAACCCCTAGGATTGCTGTTCTAATTTGTTTAATAATTACTTGATTAATTTAGATTTTCATGCAGAATCATCTGGAATGCAGTCGAATCCCGGTTTACTTTTATGACAAATTTTTATGTATAAAATTTTATATATTTAAGAAAGTACTCAAACAAATGCTGTGGATGATATTAACCAAGAAGAGGCTGAATGCCAAGACGATGTTGACGAATCTGAGTAAATTTGAATTGAAGAAAGAGATGCAAACAAAAAATGATTTGATATAAAAGATTACAAGTTATTATATAACGAATTTTATTTATTTTTAGATTATTTAAATTTAGAGTATAAAAATTTGAAATTTATATTTGATTTGATTAAGTAATGAAAATTATTTATGAAATGAATCATTTTGGTTCATTTTCTTTATTGCTCGACTAAAACTTATGTCGAAAAAAAGAAACAATACCCTGAAGATTTTTTAAAAATAACAAAAAATTAACAGTATATCGCACAAAAAGAGACTATCAGTTTTGACCCGAGCTATAAAACTGTGAGTTTCTTTTTAAAAACTATCTATATTTTGGACAATAACTTTTCAATTGAAATTATTTATCCCTCAGACCGACAAATAGCAACGAAGTCCTTCTTTTTTAACGAAATTTGATTTGTAAAAAATACAAATTATTGAGACCACATACACCACATACAAATATAAAGTTGACCTTTTTCTAAATATAAAGGTCTCCCTTCATCCCAACCAATTTTAGACTCTTAGCTTATCTTTGTTAGTCACTTGCTGTTTATATTTTGACCCTTAATTTGATCTAAAAATACCCCAGCCTTTTCCTCAATATCAGATTTGGCCTAACCATTTATCTCCCTTATTATTGTAGCCCATATTTATATTTAGAATAAATAGAATAAATATTTAAATAATGTAATTCAGCCTAATATAAGTCCCCAGAATAGTAGAATCCGAGTTTAAGCTATATATAACCTCATATATTGAAATCCATTACTTGGTCTAATACAATTCAGAAACCAGGCCGGATACATTCCGGTGCTGGTCTCTAACGATTTTACTTAAGAATTTTTTATATTTGATCAACAATAGAGCACCACACTCCGGTATTTCCTCATGCAACTTATAATTGTTCTTTAAATAAATACCCATTTAGTTAATAAGAATAAAAAAATTTTCAATCAAGTAAAATTAAATAATATATATCTAAATTTATTCTCAACTTTTGAAAAATACTTAAATAATACCAAATATTGGGTTTTAGGCGAAGGATATTTCAATGAAAATTTCTTGCTACTTTAGTTTACTCAATAATTTCTAATTTTTTGAATTTCCAAAAGTTTTGATTTACTTGTATATATCATCCTTCTTTCATATCGGTCTCATTCAATGTTTATTGAAGACCACGTTCAAAATCCATAGCTTGAATAATGGTTTTAATTTAATAATAATTTTTTATTAATAAAGATAACAAACTATTAATTAAAATTAATATTGTTAATTTAATTAACGTGTTTTACTCAGAATCAATCATCCAGTTATCCCGCTCCGATTCGAACCTAGCTGACATAACTTATTTCATTATTTTTATTTAAATACCATCATTATGTTCTTCCAGTTGAACATTTAAATCAGGCAATTCAGCTCGATTTTGTTGATGAATGTTGTTATCTAAATTTTCTAGTTATATTAACTTTGATGTTTCATTTATAAAAATAATATCAATACAAAAATTTAAAAATTAATAGAAGCTTCTTAGATCTATCCACCCTGAAAAACACGGTTATCGACAATTTTCGAGCTATCAATCATGATCAATCCTCTGTTTACACATAAGTTTTTATTGGACTTTTTACTTAGGTTCGAGAGGTTCGGGAGACATCTTTAATTTAATGTTGGGCCGATTTTCTGACCCAAATTATTTTAAGATTTAGAAATACGTTGATTTTCATTTTGTGGAACTTAATTAATATTTTAATAGCGGTGGAAGGCATTCAAAGTTTCTTGAGAAACCTAACTTCCAAATTGAGAAACCCATCTTAAACCGGCTTCTAAATCTTATTTCTTTATGTATTTAAAGCCATCTTATTTACCTTCTGGTGGAGCATGTAAATCAGGAAATTGATTAACGTTTTGATGGCGACGGTAGTTATTGATCTCCTCCTGCGTGATTGGTCCAACATGGGGCGCTTCATATGGTTGCCAATCCTGATGATAAGCCCTTAACGCCGGATTTCCATGTTGAATTCTCATATTATCGAGAAATTTTCCTCCTGGTTTCCCACTAAAACTTGCTTGACCTTCTATTTTTCCAACAGGAGTTCCTTTTACACGCATCTTTCCTCCAGGATGTTTCTCATTAAAATTAGCTTTATCAGGCAATTTTCCGCCAGGATTTCCCTCCATACATGCGATTACACATAGTTGAGCGAAAAAATAAAAAGAAAAAATTGCCAGAATTGAAAAATTCATTTTTAAAGTGTCTAAAAAGACCAATGAATAAAAACCTTCCTCCCTCAGTTTGGAACATAGTGCAAAATCCGCCTATTCGCGCCACTAAGTCTTTTTTTCAGCGGCCCGAACTGAGAGGGCCAAACTGCTTGTTTTAGTGTTGAAAATTTTATATTTGTCTTTAATTTATATCAATGATATTTTTAAAAATTTCATATGATATGCCATTCTGTTTGGAGGTTTTTTATTAGAGATAATGGTGGGAAACAGTAAACGGGAAACAGTTTTGACCTAAAATTTAAAATGAATATAATGCATTAATAGAATATGACAGCCTTTTTAAAGACATATTGCTTGAGCTTTTAATAAATTGCGAACCAAACTTGCGAGCTAATATAAGACAAGAAAGCATTTTGCGATCCACGAAATAGCGAGTCAAGCTTTGTCTTATATAAGCTTATTCTAAGTGCAAAAATAAATAAGAAATAATGTCCTTGCCCTTTAATAAAAATGCAAGGCAATTTTAAAGATTGGCTGGCAAAGAAGAAATTTCATGGCTCGGATAAGATTTTGATTTATAAGATTTTATATAGAAAAATACAATTCTCTAAAAAATAGTCGAGCTTGCTTAAGAATGAGAATAATTTATAATGTTTTGGGTAAGTTTGCTCCTACATATAAAATAAAATAATTCTGTAATGGAGCTAAACAACTATGAGCCTTATAGAAAATGAAAGTATGTATTAGAGATTATAGGAACAATTGCGTTCTATTAATTAACATAGAGATTTTTTTGTCATTTATTCTATTCAAATGTTTAAAAATGCACTACATATATTTAAGATGCATAGGTGATGGGAAGCTTACTGAGGGGACGCTTAAAAGCTCATGGGACGCTTAAGAGCTCATGGGACGCAAAACATAAAGTTGCGCCAAAATTATTTTAGTTTTCCCCAATATATGAATTACATAATTCTTGTATTGAAAAACGTACGCGGCTATTTTTATTTTTAAAACTTTAAAAAATTCTTTGCAAATTTTTTTAAACATATTTTTTTATTTAAAAAAAATGTGCAGCAAATCGGAAGTGTAAGTGTCGGAATGTCGATAGGAATGTTTCAAAATCTTGGCTCCAGCTCCGTCTCCGCCCTTTTTAAACTTAATCAGAAGCAGCATTCAAATAAATTTAGTTTCTTCAAAATAGAATTCATTAATGATCACGCTTTGAGATGAAAAATATGCGACATTTTCAATGATTGTAATTTCCAATATTTCCAATATCCGTTTTGCAAAATTTAGCATTGATTTCCGGATCCCAGTTTTGATTTGCTTATGACTTCCGCTATTTCCGACGTGTTCGAATTTTTGACACTTTCGCAATTACAACCGCTCTCTACAATAGGGAAATTTATTTGCCAGTGCGTGAGACAGAGAGAAGACAGGGGGAGAGAGAGATTTATCCTTCTCTTTTGTAAAGAGAAAGAGAAAGAAAGTCACTCGAATTAATTATTGAATTAATTGATTGTTAGTAGCTAGTGACACATACATGTTTTTATTAATTAGATGTTTTATTAATATGTTGAGTTTAATAATGTTTGACCTCAGTTGTAGGTAAAGAGAAATCTCATGCTAAATACGATTAAAAATTTACTGTTTGTCTTATCTCAATTGCAACACAACTTTGAAGTCTTTGCGGCTATGTTTTTCTGCAAATGAATTTTAATGCTAGAAAACATTTAAGAATTATAAAAGACACTTGCCGATTAAAAAAATTTAAAATAAATTTCTAAAAATAAATTTCTTTGAAAATTCTATATCTTATTTAAGAAGGCTTAAGGGAGTTTATTAAGGGAGTTTAATCGACACTCCACTCTTAATTTTGTCTCCCTCTTAAAAAAGAGGAGAAAAACTCTCCTTCTATCCTCTTTACCCATTATCCTTTCTGTCGCAAAACGCGCGCGATTTATGGCAACGTCTCATTAGTATTGAAATGGAAGTGAATATAGACGCGGGCTTGTTTGCGACGAGTGATTTATAATAGAGGCTGTAAATGGCTTCATACAAGCAATCCATCCTTCATTATCCTTCATTACATCCCTTCTATGTATATGTATTTTCCTTTATAAATCTTCGAGAGTAAAACTCTAGAAAAAGACACTTAATGTTTAAATAAGCTTCTTTTAAATAAATTAATAAAACATAAAAAATAAATGTTTATAGATAAAGCAAGTCTTGTAGAACCAGTTTTTTGTTTGCTATAAAGTATCATCTTGAAATTTAATTCACAACAAGACTTTATTTTCCTCTCAAGAGGAATTCCCTAAAATAAATTTTATTATTAAAAAATCTTTTTGTAAATCACCCATTGCCATAAAATCATTTTATTTAAAAAGCTCTAAAAAATTTTTTAAAGGATGAACTTGTTTAATTTTGATATTCTGTTTTTCCTTATTTTAAATTTATTTAATTTAACGTTTTGCGTTAAACGTAAAGGTAATGGAGGTAAAAATTTAAATTCTATTTAAACATTTGACTTAACTTATGGAAATTTTCCTTAAGGACCATCAAATCCTCAACAAACTTCTCAACAACAAACATCGGATATTCAAACGGGTCATAATTTCTGATTTTATTTAAATATGTATTTAATTAAACAAACATTTAAGATCAGGAAAGACCATTTTATTTTGCAAACATTGCATCTGGAGGCAATATTTCATTTGGTTAGTAATTTTTATTAATTTACTGAATAAATCAAATAATTATTTTAACATTTACTAAAATTTAGGGGACCCTATGGATAGCGAAGATAGCAATTTGTTGCCATTATATCAGCAGCAACATGGTGATTTTACTCCTTTGCTTAAGATTCTCCAATAAAATTATCTTAAGGAACACCAAATCCTCAACAAACTCCTCAACATCAACCTTTGAATGTTCCTCCGCGTCGTAATCCACGTCCTATCATTACTGCCCAGCCTCGTCCACAAAGTCGGATTTTATTTATTAGACCTAATTATTAATTCAAATATTTTATTTATAAAAACAGTTAACCAGACTACCGCTCCGCGTCCTCGAATTATAAGGCAACAACCACATCCACGTTTGTTTCTTGATAAATTTTAAATGCTTTTAATTTATTATTATTAATTTTGCTTAATATAAAAATTTTTAGCCTTTCCTCAACAAGAATTGGATGTTCCTCCAGGGTTTGAAACGCAGCGATATGCTCGTCCTCTTGGTATCCAAACTCGCCCACAAAGTTTGTCTTTGTCATTTAAATAGATCTAAAAGCTAAAGTTGTTACTGCGTTTCCCTCTGAGTTTTACGATATTATATGTTTTTGTTTTATGTTCGGTTTAGAAACAAGGGATGCATATAAAGTAGATACGAGGTTAACTGAACCTTATTGCAGAATGTTACCACGAACCCTTATTAACGTTAGCAATAACTACGACCTTTCAAACTAACTTGTGAACTAAACACAAGTGAAAGTTTAAGTTTACCTGCGCCTCCTTGTAGTCATTTCTAGCTGCGTTACATAAAGGTGCTCTAACACTCAGAACCGGGGCGACTAGTAATGTTTTTTTATTAATATATTGTTCAATTACGACTAGGCATTTTAAATGCTAGGTGAATAATAATTATAATCATATAAATCTCAACTTGGTCCTAAACTAGCCATAATCAACAAGCAGATGCTGGCTCTTAAGTTAGCTATACAAATTTATCATTAGTAATTGAATTTATATTAAAATCGTTTTAGCTTCCCAACCACGAAACTTGAATTTTGGTATTGCTACACATCAAACACCTTATCCTCAACCGGCTATTCAACAAAATTTGGGTGTTGCTTCTAGTTCTGCTCCACATCCACGAATTGATGTCCAGACTAGTTGGTTTTTAACTGATTAGACATACTAGTAAATGATGATTAGGTTTAAAATTTGTAATTTCTGATTAAATAATAATTTTTATTTTATTTAAATATATATTTAATTAAACAAACATTTAAGATGAGGAAAGACCATTTTATTTTGAGAATTTTGCAACTGGAGGCAATATTTCATTTGGTTATTTAATTTTTATTAATTTTTATAAAAGTAAAACAACTTATTGTTCGAATATCTAAAATTAACATAACTAAGTAGACCTCATGGATCACGGAGATAACTATTTGGTAAATATTTAATAACAACAACCTTGCTCTGCGATCATTAGACATTGATTTTAATTTATCTGGGGTGGGTTAATTGTTTCATAAGAAGGAGAACCGTCTGTAATTCCCGAAAAATTAAAATTTTCTAAGTAACTATTAACAAATATTTATTTTTTTAATAATTATATTTTAATTATTTCTAGGAAAAGTTTTAAACAAATTTTATCTTCAAATCCTTAACTTAGATTTTAATTAAAATTCAGATAAATTTAATTTACAGAAGGAAGTCAAACTACTGGACAAGGACGCCGTGCTAGCAGAGGCAGTGGACGCCGCAACCCTGGTGGTCGTAATGAAGAAAATCAAGCATCTGGTCCATGAGGAGGACGAGTAAATCCATGAGATGGATGAGGAAATTGAAACAAAACTCATGAAGAAAACAAACGGAAAACTGTATATATTTCGTAGTTTTAGAAACATTTTACACACACATATTATCGTAAAAAGATTACAAAATTATTGAATTCCATTGACATATGTAAATTAAAACAAAGATTTACATATTTTTATAAGGTATCCCTTCAGAATTTTGAAATTTAGATCTGTCATTGAATAAATTCTCAAAGGGATAGGCAATTTTGATATCATATAACCACCCAAGATTATTTAAGTTTTAAATCATATATTGTCTAATTGAGACGACTATATTAATGAATTTGTGGAATTCAATAATTATCTAACAAAACATTATTCAAAATCTTTTTTCACTAGAATTCACAGATATAGAAAAACATTAAATACTCTAGGTATTTACTTGTTTATTCTGTGATTTATTACAACATACATTTTATTCAAAAGATAA